TAGTGATTTTTTTCCCGCCCGCCAAGAAATTTCTAGATATCACATTCTATATCAAAAATGCATTGTGGTTCCAAGAAACTATCCAATTAAAGGTATTATGATGCATTTCTTTACATTTTTAACAGCCGAAAATAATCCAGACAGCCCCGATTGCTCTTAGATGTGTTACCAATCTATCTATCTATTGCCCAACAATGATGGTAATAAAACTATTTAGACATACATTTAATCTTATATTTAAAACGTTCGACAAGGGGCGTGCTTTGACTTATTAAGTTATATACTATTTTGTAAATAAAGATGTTTGTTTGTATTTTTCACTTTACACGCTACTTTACACCATTAAGAATCACTTATATGGCCATCACTACCCCATGTTGCTTTCCCTTGAGGGTGTTTTTGTTGACAGGCTAATATAAAGCTGTGTGTGAAAAAGACGACTGTTTTGTTTGATTAATATCATATTTCAATAACGGCTTTAAAGATGGCTCGTATCTTTTCATACGCTAAACAAGCTTAACGAGGCGATAGAACGCCTCTATACGCCCTTTACTTGCTTCTCACTGCCAGATCGATCATTAACTGTGACTGATGCACAAATGATGATGCCCGTCTATTTATACGAACATTTGAATAGGTGAAAAACGAAGAACGAGTAATGGCACAATAAAAGCGGACAAAGCGTGTAAATAGAGGCAATACGGAACAAATCTAATATCTCCTCCTATTTGAACATACTATCGATTTTTGATGGTCCCTTATGTAAATGAGACAAGATCTCCTCGAGACATTAACATGGCTGGCCTCCTTTTAGGGACTTGAAACTTTCGACATGACTTTGTGTACTATTTATGGTGGTTTAATTTAATATATACGTCTTGAAAGGGACAAGTTTTAATATGATAAACAATACTTGTTAGTTCTTTTTTTGGAAAAAACTAATATCAAATTAAAGATACATTATGTAAGATTTAGATAAAGAACTAGCCATTCTTGCTATAATAGTTCGAAAGTAGATGATGTAAAATGAATAATTTGAAAATTTCATTCAAATTACTCTATTGCAAGCGAAGATATTAGCCTTTGAAGGTTTGACTGACGTGTGCAATAATTTCAACCACCGTACTGGTTGATCGAAGCTAAGTCTCGGTCCTCCATATTTGATGAAATCAAAGTATCGCTGAACCATTCTAATCTATTTAATATCGGAGAAATCTGATGCCATCGAGAGTTGATTAAGGCCTGGGTCAGTTAATTAATGTCTAATTAATACTTTAGAAAACATTTCAGGCCTAAAGAAAGACCTGCAATAGGCAGATTTAGATATTGCATAATGTATGTTTAACCAACCTCAAAAGAATGTTGTAAGGCTGGGGCTGGATTGTTTTTTTTTTCACTCTATATCACTGTTCCCTAAACACTTACATTTAACATAGAACTAGATTGGTGTGGATTAGACTATCACCATGGGTGCTGGGCGATTAATGATTCCCAGATTAAAATATTATAAGAGTATTTGTGGCCAAAGGGTTTGACTATCTAGGTTTGATAACGTACAATTTCGCAAACACAAAAGGGAAGAGACGTCAAACACATTCACATTTTTTAAATATTAAGTACAGATAGCAATTTTAAAAAACTACACGAAAGGAAAAAGAGTTTATGAGAGGCGAGCAGAACTAAAGCGTACAAATTTTCCGAAGTGTGGTGATGTTACCCAATTAATAAACAACGCTAGGCCACAGTACACACGCTTTAGTTGTGTGTCTTGTGAACTCCTTAAGAAGGAATAGTTGTTTCATATAGCGTAAGCATACCCTACCTTCTACAAGAAACACTTCAATACAATACATAACGCGTATACCTATTCACCATCAAAGCCCAGAATTCTAGTTTTGGATACAATTATCATTTAGATGATACGGATATCTTTACAGCATTACAATCCTAACTATGGTGATTAAGTCGTATGATAAGGTGGACAATTATCAATGGTTTAAGGATTAAGTTAAGACTACGGTAAGATTGGGTGGATATGTCTTATCGTGGTAGAAACTATGTATATGATGCTTAAAAAGACATAACCTATCTTGTATGATTATTTATTTTACTGTTCACGTCACCTGTCAGGTAAATAACTAAAGTAAACGATAATACAGTTGTATACAATCTGATAATAAGGACAGAGTTTCTGGTATTTTATGGAAAATGTTTCGCCATTCGCAACCACTTGCAATTTCATTTTATATCTACGTACATTTAAGAAAAATTTCTATGTTCATAATTATGCAACCTTATATTAATTGAGGGTTAACAGCACGTCGCAGAGACAACTGGAAACACAAGCTAAAGACACAAAACTCAGACGCAGTGAGCAGTCGGAGAACTATCAAATTATGTAAATGGTCCCAGATGGTGTAAGCTACCATTTTGACGGAAACGTGCTCTGGCTGGTTCTTCAATTCACAATATTGACCCTCGTCTAGATTTTCAACCAATCATCGAAATTTTAAACGTATATATTCAGAAGGTTTCGTGAATAGACATGGGAATACCTATGTCATAGACCTTGTACCAAGTAACAGTTATTGAATTTAAAGTATACATTAAATATTTAGATGTCTCTGTTTACAGAAGCCGGTTCAGAAACGCTAATAATCGAACCTATATGTTATTGTACTGTGCGTCGATAATCGTTCAAGACTCTCCATAACAGTCCTAGAATCACCGTCCTGTCTGCTTGACATTTGTCATCACAATCAATATTTGGACAAATGATTGTTCTGATTGACACTTTTTGTTGGTTCTATGACTAAAACAGGCAGATCAACGTTCAGCATGTGGTCAAGATCACGCCTTGAAACACTTAGGATTATACAATCAATTAATCAATTGTTTAGATTTTGGAATAAAGAAAAGAAACGAAACGCAAAGCTCTTAGTTGTAACTTGGCTGCCAGCATCGCGTGGATACCTTTAAATGTGACAACCAACTCGATTGATTTATGACTATTTAAGATGGCCTTCACTTTGGGTATATGGGCTATTTTTGACACAGAGGTCGGGGACAAATTATGATGATTTTAGATAAGACGTGTTAGTGTTGTACCCTTTACCTAAACAAAGATATAATATAAGTTGATAATATTGTTCCAATTTATATATTTTTAAATTATGGAATCCATCTTCAAACCGGGTGGCGTTTGTTGTCCATTAATTTTTAATTCAAAATATTTATTTGAAATAATTATAAGAACCCTTCCCATTCATATCTTAAAAATTATAAACTATATCTAAATATGTCAATTTGGTAATTATAACGAAGGTATGAAATGTATGTTATAGGTTTTTTTTTATTAGAGTTGGAAGGTGGGGGGGGGGTCTACAAGACACATTTTTATGTAGCTCAATTGTTGACTTCAAACATAACATGTAGTCCTTCATGTCAAGTCATTTTATTAGATTCCTGCCATATTAGTCTTTTTCATATTGTCAGTCAAAGCCTCTCCATACTATATCAATAACATGTGAGAGAATAATTTCGTTTACAAATTAGTTTCCGGGATGCAGTTGTATTTGCTCAGTATTATCATTATCGCCCTCTGGGGGATAATTTCCATTATTACGTCACGGCTCACGACCCGAGCTCATAGGCTGCGGTGAATGGTTGGCGGGGAGAAGAAACGATGTAATAAATCAGAAGCGCTAAACGTATAATTGAAAGTTGGGAACCAAATTGACCTAATAATCGTGTTTGTTCTATTAAGATATTTACAAGAGATACAATAAGCCATGTTCCCCAGTGAGTAATTGGACATAAAAGCTGACATATGTCTTGTCGTGCTGGATCTCTCATTATCTGGTGTTAAGAGATCTCATTTACATGGTTAGCACAGCTCTATGAACGTCCACTTTTAATATTGCGTTTTCCGTTTCTGGTGTTTAAAAAAAACATTATTACATTTTATTTCACCGTCATATTACATCTTTTCCAATAACAGATGAAATAACTGGAGATTTGGCTTTAATAAATCGCACTGACTAATTTGGGTGTATTATGTTAGATCAATGTTTGTTTTATTGCCATATTTATTTACAGGTTTTCTCTCGGCAGATTTTTTATTGTTTCATTCAAGGGTATCTTTTATTGGAACACCGAAATTAAGAGGAGAAATTTCATATCGTCGGATTTCCAATTTCACGAAAAACGAAATGAAAAAAAAAAAAAAAAAAAAAAACAGCATTGTATTATAGGTTGCGTGTTACTAAATTTATCGGATTAGTAAAGTTAATCGAAATCTAATCAATCCTATAAAATATTTTCATTTCATCTGCCGTCAGAACTCGTTAACGGTCAAATTTTTTTTTAATTAAGAGACAACTCAGTCAGTTTTTTCTTCCTATCTTTAATATTTGCAACAATAGGTGCTTTTTTAATATTATTATCTTTTATAGAATTTAATTCAACTTGTTATCCATTTAACGGCACAATTAGTTTCATACATTATTTAATGCATTCAATGCACATCGTCATTATTTGCTATCATATACTCGGTGTTCATTGAATTTGCTGTGTTTGTTTTTCTTAAGTATAGGTGTAAATATATTTTTTGATATTGAAAGATAATGTTTACATTATTTTTCAAGAAGTTATTTTAACTGCTATGTTTATTTTATAAATTTAAAGTAAGTGAAAGCGCATGCATTAAAACCAAGTGTTTGACAGTGTTTCAGCTTTTAAAAAGAAACATCCTTTTTTTGTTACTGTATAAACATCAAAATAATGCATATCAAAAATAGAAGGTTGAATGGAACTACGCTCACCATCTTTAAATTTTGAAAAAAAGAAATGTTTTGATTATAGCTAGAAGCTCTTGATTTATTTTTATAGACAAATAATGCTGCTTTTAGATAGTCTAGCTAAAAGTTATTTTTTCTAAGCAAGGGATTTAAATTCTAATTATATACATTTTATTTTTAAAAGAATAAATAACCACTTACTTTTCATAATCTGTTTTACAATATAATTTTCTATCTCTGACAAAACAGGAACCACTCAAAGGCATTTGACACAGAGCACATTGTAAGCATGTTTCATGCCAAGAATTTTCCATAACTTTTAATAAAAAACGATCTTCAATCGGCATCTGACAACCAGTACACATTTCCTTATGTAAAGCTTGTGTCGGCATTTTTCCTGCAAAAGAACAAAAAGAAAAAAAACGTTAAATCATCATGAAATATGCATTTTATTTTAAAACATAAGGGACATTTAGAATATTTCCGTATATTGAAAATTAGAGCTAGAAATAAAAACACAAATATCACAGCACCGGGGTCTGTTTAAATTATCTTACACGGCGGAACAAAAGTAAAATAAAATAAAAAATTCTGTACAAAAAATCTCTTATTGCAATGTGGTATTTTTCTTCAGCGATAGTGGCCGACTGATTTCTCACCAAAACTTGACATAAAAATCAGTCGACATGAGCCCACTTCAAAACATCTCAATAAAATTACCACTATTAAAGGATTTCATTTCAAGATTACAATTTGCTTAACTGCATTTAAATTTTACCATTCATGTAGGATCAACAAAATGATAATGCCGCGGCGATGTACAAACGTGAAAACGTCATTGAAATGTGTGTAGAACAAGGGTGTAATCCCAAACGAGGTTTTTCACGTCAAGGATTGAGTAGTAAATTTATAGTTCCGATACTTTCTTTAACTCGATGACCCTTTTGTTTGGGGTTGTAAAAATCTCTCCATAAAGTTTAAAATACTTTATCCCTTATCTTCTCAGTTTCACTGTTATTTTTAGTGTAAAAGGGGTCTTTTCTGATTTTTGTCTAAACGAAATATATGTTTACCCGACAAAGGTATTTTGACGGTATAAGGAGATCTAGTTGAACGAACGAACACACCTGAAGCCACCTGAGAGGCGGTCTTCTTTGATGTTGACTTGGCACACATTCAGGTGAGTATGGGTATAGAAATATGACAATATATCTCATTTAAGGTAAATCCCTCCGCCATCTCTCCTTCTGTTTCTTCTGTACCCAGCTCGACCAAATCCTATCTAACCCCAACATAAGAAAAACGTGCAGCGCAAACAAAAATATTGAAACACGGGTTGAATGAATGAAGGGCTAAACTGAATGAGAAGATAACACATATAAAAGAGATACAACTTTCTCTATGTATAGTGAATGAAAAGAACATCGTACTATGATTTGAGTTACAGGTGGTCGTGGGGGTTAAGCGTATAATCTTATTCCTTGTTGCACGATCAGGTTAAGTAGACTTTGGCCAGATAAAGTTGGACCGTTTGAACGTTTTCAAACAACTTGGTTCCCAAGACACCAATAAATCGGCAATATTCGGTTGAACTAGACCCTTTAACACAACTGACATTTAAGGATGGCAACAATGACTATTGTTCGCTTTTAGCTAATATGGCCATTTTTATCGGATTAAGCGTATAAATTCAACTTCATTATTCTAACTACCAAACATCCCTTTCTTTCAAACCACGCTGACCGCAAGACCGAGAAAACTAAGGGAGCGCGTTTCGTTTAATTTCCGAGCTCTATTTTTGACATTTGTGACACGGTCAAGTGTCAAACCCTCCTTGAAACTGTCATATGATCTGTGCGGACGGGGGACAAATGTCGCTGATTAATGATATTTTGAACGACAAAATGTTCAATTAAATTATCCAATATTATCAATCTGAATAGTTTGTCCGAAGCTTCCTTTTCTCCGCCTACAGAAAGGTTAAGAATAAATTCTAGAGCCACTTATTTCCAAAGAAAAGCTGTGTTTACAATAGAAAGTGGTCTTCATTTAACTGGTCCTAAACATGTTTGTAAATTTCGTCGTATTTTGTGTATCTGAAGTCACGCTTCTGTCAAATTTGTTGAAAAGCTCATAATTTTTAATTTTCGTAAAAAATAATAACTTCATGAATCCCTTATTCATATTTTGCACGTTCAGGGACCTTTAAATCAAGACTATTTTGCCACAACAAAATACATTTTCTAAGTGTTGTTTTCACTTTATTTGCCAAATGAAAAATTTAAAGGCAATATTAATCTTCATTCAATAATCGTAATGGACGCAATCGATAGGTTTAATTTTTTTTAAATATTGAAACAATGTTGCCGTCTTTTTAACTTGAAAAATTCTCAATTCAGGGTTTTTTCTTTTTTCAGATATAAGGAGAATTATGTGTAACAAAATAAATAAATAAAAAAATAAAAAGAAATAAAATTATTTACAATGTTTTATTTGTTGAAATACGATGAACGTAATTTTGAAATTCTAATATATTCGTAAATCAATTGATTTGTTGCACCTTACAAGATATTGATAATAACAAATATTATGTTGTTCCAAGGTAACAAAGCTAAAAAGAATCTATATCATAATAGATTGTAGACATTTTTTTGTGAATTAAAGTTTTCGCCCTCCGTACTTGAACTCACGCACATGATACACCGCCATTGAGCTAATCAGTGCTAATATTTCGGGGTTGAATGTAAAATTCAGTACGGCTTTATACGAAAAATAAACAGTCGCACAAAACAAGTAGGAATAAAAAGAATAAATGTTTATACTTAATATGATAGCAATAGAGAGGGGACTTGATATGACTACAATAAGCCTTTATTTCAATTCAGGTTCTGTTTGAAAACGTTTCCTTTCTAATGGTGAGCACACGAGATTAGCACTTGAAGGAAAATGTTCTCAATGACCTGTTAAAGTTCAGCTGATTTCCAGGATTAACTATTATTATGTTAATGAGTTATAGTGTTAAAGAACAGCTAAGGCAATAAGTAAATATCAACAACAATATCAGGCTGTAAAATTTGTCTTCCCGTGGGTCTGTGGACTCAAATTATTGAAAATTTCAAAACCCTGCCTCTTGACCCCTCTCTTGTCCAAGATTACCCTCCTGTCGTTTCGTCATTTAATTCAAACCATATTTTGTTAGGGGCTTTACAGATGTTACATCCCATGTTTATTCGGCGTAATAATTTAATTCTCAATTCCCTACTATTTCCTAATGATAAAACCTCATTCCGTATAAGGCCAACTGTTCCTTCAGTTGGCCAATCTATGGGCAACTTCATTTAACTGCTCTATGCAAAAAGGAGAGACGACTACCTCATCGTCTTATGTTTTATATATTTAAAAAAAAAACAATTATTAAAACGTTTTGACTAATGGGGAACACATACTAAAATAATAAACTATAGATTTAATAATACATATGATATTATAATGTTTAATTGATACAAAATTTATTGATATTATTATATAAATACTTTAGTTATAGAGTGCATAATCCCATTTTATTCATATTATGGGTGGATAGTAGGATCTATTTTTTTTTTAAAAAAGACAATTTAGAATTTTCTTAGAATTTTCACAGTATCCAAATTTTTCCAAAAGAACTTTCAACTCTTGAATTATGTCCTTAATATTACCCAAGGTTGGTTGTATTTTTTTAAAAGATGAGCATATAATACTAATCATCAAAACAATGATAAGTTCCGATAGAAATGAATGATATGAAACTGGGAAAACAAAAAATTTCCTCTTTAGATTAGACAGGTGGCCATATAAATAATGTGTTTGACAGTCAGTTTGTATAAACGAAAATGGTCACGTTTGTTTCTAAAATCGTTTCTTTTTATAGGAGTTATTATTTGCATTTATTAATTAATCTCAATTTGTAAAAACACAAAGAATTAATCTCAAAGTTATTAAAATATAACAATCCACATTTCCTTATTTTTAAAAGTCAAAAATTAAGATTAAACCTAAAGTTAATAATAACTAAATTCTTCGATGAGGAAAATCAAATATTCTTAATCTAATCCAATGTAATCCGTCTAAGAAAATTAATTACCGTCATAAAATTCTAAATTATTTCATAAACGATAAGCTCACAGTTCCATGTTGAGGTTTTTCCATCGGTTATAACACGGTAGTAAAAAAAATACTCGCGTTCTATATTTATTGAAATCTATTTTAGATCATCATAAATTCATCATAAAGTGCTTATAATAAAAATTGCCATTTTAGTTTCGACAATAATTATGTGAATTCAATTTTCTATTTCCCCTTTGCACACGCTAGTACAAGCCAAATTAAAAATAAGAAAAATAAAATTTAGAAAATATATAAATCTATTGTGTCGCTTACCTGACATTAATGAACTTCAGAAAATTACATGCAAATATTTCAGCGTATCGTTTCCGCAACAACTTCTTTAACAGAAATCTAAATGTTCCTCGCTTAATATTAAATCCCTCTTCGTTGATAAATAATTATACATAATGTCCATACATTTCGCCGACTGCCTTTTATATAGTTATACGTATATCAATAAAGACAAACTGTTAATATCTATAGTTTGTCTACGATATAGTGTTAATTAACCTAAATAACCGATAGTTCATTATAAATAAACATAAAGCAGGGTGGGGAAAATTATATGATCATATGTTTCTATGATTTTTCAAGGAATGAAACATATATTTTTTTCAATTTATTTTATAATTTTTAGTATTATACAAACTTCGACCTAATCGGATCATCGATTAGTTTAGCAAAATTCAACATATTGTATGTTTTTAATCATTTTACGGAGAAAAAAATTATCTGGCTTATTAAGAAAAAAACAGGAAATAATATAAGGATATTTTTTGTTCGTATTTTAAATTACCCAAACATGATAAGATCAAAAAAAAACAAAAAAAACAATATTTCAAGTGATTTAATCCATAGACGGCGTGTGGTAAGAGAATTTTCTCACTATCTTAATGAAGTGGTTATTCTAATAGAACAAACTGTTACAACCATATCTCTGACACCGTGAGAGCCCAAGTCCCCAATCTTCACGCTGATAATATTTCTTAACGACTTGTTGGCATACTTTATTCAATAAATTGATATCAATAATAAGGTATATTATGAATATGGATATGATTTTACACATTCTTTCAAATAAGATAAAACACATAGATTGACAGGTTGTGGTTATGTTTATATACACAAGTATTTCAAAACGCCCACCGAGAAAGGTACGCTATTAATACAGAATTGTTGGGAGCCTTTTTTGTGGACTTATTTTCATTCAGGATGAGAAATATTTTGAAATTTATTTTTAACTAAAAATACATC